ACTTTCCAGGAGCTTCCTGAGTGGGCACACAGTGGTTTATCAAACCCCAAGCAAGAGGTATGAGAGGATACTGGAAATGGGCTGCCCGCAGGGATCCTGTATAGGACCCCTGTTATGGAACATTTTACCTGAACAGATTTACCAACAAGACATCTCTTTGTGCTATCTGCGACAAGACTGACAGCTCTGACCATTATCTCTTTGACTGCATCTCCCTGGAAGTGGAGCGTCTTACCATTGAATTGATCGCTGGGAGCAAGAACATTCACTGGCCCTGCCAGAACTACAAACTATTAAAAAACAAAGAACTATTTGCAGCATTTTGTAAACTGGTGAAAAGGCATGAAGTTATTGCTCCTCTTGCCATTAGGGAATGGTTTGTCATCATCTGCCCTGGACTTTAGTCTGCAAATTTATATCACGTACCTCAGAAAAAAACCTTTAACCGATGCGAAATAAAAATTTAATAGTACAAACGTTTTCAGACCCCTCCTGGGTCCATCTTCAGGCAAAAATCATTTGAAGATTTACGAAGTACGAAAAATATTCGTTTAGAACGATTTTTAAAAACATAACTATATTTTAACATGACTATATTGATGACACAAGATGCATGGAAGCAGAGAACAACGCCATAGACAAATTGCACTCTAGGGTTAAACGATTCTCCAACACAAAATTAGCATCAAGATTAGGTATGCAGAATATCGTCATGGATGCACCTGACACCCCCAAGTTATTTGCATATGCAAAAATTCACAAACAAGACCAGAAATTGAGACCAATTGTGGACAAGACCAAGTCCCCTACATGCATGTTAGAAGTCTCTTTGCACAAAATGATCGCGCCACATTTAGAAGGGTACAGATACACGATTTCTAATGCAGTTGAATTAGCAGAGCTCCTCATGGACACTGAACATCCCAGCTTTATTACGATCCTGGATTTCCGATCACTATATCCTTCGATCGAGATTCCTCCATGTTTTTGCAGCATCAGGGACTTACTGTTTACAATCGTAGGCAATGAAGAATTCCACCAACAAGTTTTAGAGTTGTCCCACTTGATTTGTTACAGCTCGATCTTTCAATTCGGAGGTCTTACGTACACGCAAGGTAAAGGGGTCCCCATGGGCAGTTCTGTCTCCGGGGATCTATGTGAACTAGTAATCAGAGAATTAGAGAGAAAAATACTTCTGAATTTCCTCCAAAACATCATAATTTACAAACGATACGTTGACGACATCATTGTTCTCTGGAGAGACTCCGAACATCACCCAATTTGTGGATCAAATGAACGACAATCCATATGGTCTTACCCTGGAGGTCAAACAGCACAGCGACTCATCGGTGCATTTTCTGGATTTGAATATTGACTTTGGAGGACCGATCATACACACCACCGTGTACCGCAAACCATCAGACAATCCAACTTATATCCCGGCAGACTCATGTGACCCTGTCCAATACAAGATGGCGGCGTTCAGGGCTCTAGTTAAAAGGGCTCACTCACACTCTTCTACTCAAGAGGCCTTAGAACAGGAAATACAATACCTATACGAAGTGGCCAAACAGCATGGATACCGTAACATCATACAAAAAATGTCGCAACGGTTTGGAGAAACGATGTCTCCTTCTAAAAGAATTAACTGCAAATTTATGTTGCCTTGCTACATTTGTATACAGTTTGTAAATACTTTTGTACATTTTTAATCTTGTAATACACCTCACCTCACTTTTCCTTTGGTTTTGCTAATTTCTAGCAATTTTTGCCGTTTTTACTGTCCTCCTCTTTACCATTGACATTGTATTTACTTATTGTACCCATTCTATTATTTTGTATATTCATTGTATTCCTAATATTGTTAACCTCACTATTGTTATTCTTTTTGTTATTATTACCACCTATAAACACTTCTTTCAATATCACCGATATAAAACTTTACCTCTTATTCTTGTACCTACTACCTCGGCTATGCCTTGCAAAACCAAGTATGTATTTTTTTTTATACGTTCAATAAAGATTGATTGATTGTTATGGAACATTCTAGCAGATATGGCACTGAAACTCATCCTACCAGATGACGTCCAGCTGCAGGCTTATGCAGACAATCTGTTGCTAGTAGTTGCAGGCTACAGTAGGCGCAACATGGAGAGTCGTGGCAACGAAGCAATAGAATGGCTTGTTCATTGGGGAGAGCTGCATAAGCTCTCCTTCAGCCCTGAGAAATCAGAGGCCCTGACGGTGGCCTGAACCAGAGTGTTGGCATGCCGGCTGATATACTGGATTAGGGGAATCCCCATCCAAAGGGTGAAGGAGTTAAAGTACCTCGGTGTTATCATCGACCAGATGCTATGTTGGACGCACCACCTGAGGAACATTCGAGACAGAACAGATCTCATGATAGCAGCACTATGAAGGCTGGCCAGACAAGACTACAGGCTTAGTGGGGAGGCACTTTGGTCCATCTAGAAGATGAGTGTAGAGTGCATTATCTGCTATGCCTGTGGTATCTGATGGAAGGACTCTGCCAATGTCAAGCAGAGCAGAACATTACTCACGATACAGCGTCCTGTCGCCTTGTGGATTTGCAGGGCATACAGAACTGTGTCAACGGAGGTGGCCCTGGTCTTGGCCAGACTGCTTCCGCTGCCTCTGGTAGTCAGCCAAGAGGCAGCCTTCTATCGGACAACTGTAAAGGGCACAGAGGCTAAGCACTGTAATCAGACATACCCAGTCAGACTCAGACATCAGACAGGGTGGACCCTGTCTGATGTCTGAGTCTGACTGGGTCTGAGTCTGAAGGTCCACCCTGCCTATAGGATTGGACTAGATTGGAATGCCGGTGAACCGGCAAATATCGGTGTTGAAATATACACCGATGGCTCAAAAGACGATAGCTCAGTAGGTGCCGCATTCTGCATCTACTGTGACAGAGTTCATGCATGTAGTCAGTCAGTCAGACTGAATGAGGAGGTGTCTGTGTTCTAGGCAGAACTGGTGGCCCTGGCAGGGGCATCCCAATGGATCCTACTACATCCGGGTCAGGAGCCAGTCACAGTGTACTCTGATAGCCAGTTGTCAATTCAGGCCTTGAGTGACGGGTACCATCGTGATCCGCTGGTACATGAGATCAAACATAATGAACTGAGGCAAAGGCACAAACAACACGTTGCCTTGCGGTGAGTCCGAAGCCACATCAGGATCCCGGGCAATGAACGTGCCGATCAGTTGGCAAAGGCGGGAGCCAGTGGCCCGTTTGTAACAAGGACGGTAGAACCCTCGACTACATACATTAAGGATGCATTGTTACAGAGATCAATGGCACACTGGCAAGAGCGCTGGAATCAAAGCATGGTAGGTAGGTCAACTTACGCCTTTGTTCCTGAGGTTGGCCAAACTCCAGTCAGTTGTGATTTCAGACTGATGCAAATATTGACTGGTCACGAAAGGTTTCCCCCACTTCAAGTCCAAGTTTGGACAAGGAGATGGTAGCTGCCCCTGTGGGTGTCCTCGCGGCGACACAAGACACTACATACTTGACTGTCTTCTTACAGAGGACTTCCACCTAGGGGTTGACCAACTCAACAGGAATAAACCCCCTGAACAAGTACTTCGAACGCTAGCAGCTAGTAAAGGAAACTTAAAGAAACTAAAGGATTTGATGGGAAAAGTTATGGATCTTTAACACACAAGGGCCCTCTTTATGGAGAGGACCCAGCTGTCCGTATAATTATTTATCTATAAAGTTGTGAGCTATAAAGGTTTAGTATTGTGGACCAAAGTGCAGAATAGGCTGCACAATACAAAAGTTATGCCAAGTTAGAGAGCTGGGCCGGGGTGCGGACGGGAGCCCGAAAGATGTACCATATGGCCCAGCCGTGTTGTCCCTGTCTAGCGTGTCAGGTACCGACCAGTCGATGAACAAGGCATAGTCTTTTTAACCCTGTAGTGCCATTAGGCGGGGCAGGGAAAGAGTTCCCTTATGAGACACACTAATTGATATTAAAATTAATTAAGATAAAGATTATTTAGAATGAAAACTATAAAGTAAGCATCTATCATTTTAAAGTAGAATCATTAACATAAACATTCTCCTCAAAATAAGAGTAAAATGTAATCCCAACAGCCTATATTGGAAGATTCACCAATTAGGAAAATAAATCTATTCTATCATAAATTAGCCAGTAATATGAAAAGTTGAAACTATTTTTGTAAAATGGATAGTATGCCAAACAATACAAAGATGCAAAAAATCCAAGAGAAAAATGAGATTACAGAGAAGGAGGATTGGAAGAGACAAGGTAATGGAGTTGACCCAAACTAAAAAGAAATAAGAAAACACTATGGTCCAAGTTAAGAATAAAGTTCCAAGAAGAGACTTTGTAGAAGGAACAATTAAGATATTAAGATAAAGACAATAAGTTTTACTCCTCCCACCTTTTGGACACTAAGAAAGACTCTTTATCAAGCCAGACTGCCACATTGGAAGTCAGCTGGCGCTAAATCAGGGCTATACACTGGGTGTTTAAAGGTGGTGAAGACTTCCACCTAGCTTAAAACTTTTTAATGTGTGAAGACTTCTCCTCTTTCCTGAACTGAAAACGTGGCTAGTAGGGCAGAGGTTCGAGACTAATGATGATCTTCAAAACAATGTTAGGGCCCATCTCAAGTCATTGGTGGCAACATTCTATGACAAGGGGATGGAAAAGCTCATCCAGAGAAATGACAAATTCCTCAATCTTTACAGTAATTATGTCGAAAAGTAACCATGTTTATACCTAACTTTTGGTAATAAATTCATTTTGTTATTTATATTTGTCTTTGTTTTATGGACCATCAGAACTAAAAAACAAATAGCCCTCATATGTTAAAGATTAAAAAATAAAGCACATTTAACATATCACAGACTATTTTATCATAAAAATAAACATTTTGCAATAAATTAAAAAAACATTTTTTTTATTTCCAAAAAGCAAAATTTAATATTAAATACTTACTTTAAAAATAACTAATTTTTTAAGTTGACCAATGCCATCAGGTAATACTTCTATATTATTCTGGGAAAGATGCAAATCAGTAAGATTTTCTAAACCTGCTATTTCATTAGGAAGTACTTCTAACTGATTTTCACTAACGTCTAAACATGTCAGTTTTTTCAAATTTCCAATATCCTGAAAAATAAAGCATTACATAATTATTAAAATATTTTAGTTTTATTATAAAAATTTATTTTAAATACTGAATTAACTTTCTATTATCTTGTGGAAAACTGACACAAAACAAAAAACAGTTTACATAACCCACAACACCAAATAGTTTGCTTAAAAAAACTGAAACAATTAATTAAAAAACACTTTTATTCATACACAAATTAAGCTTCTTCAGTTGAATTCCAACTTGAATAGTTCAAATGGTCATGATTTATTCCCAATTAGAAGACTATTAGTTTAGTAAGTTTGTTAATGCTGCTTTTACATTGCACATATGAAGGCTTACAAATATTCTTCCTCTGCAACTATATTAAGATTGGAATTAAGTATTAATTAACAACTGTGTGTAACAGTGGGTTTTCAGCTTCTTGGTTTCACTATATGGCAGAATTAAATAAAAATTATTTCCACTCACCATCCTAACGCCAGAAGAAAAGAAGATATGCTTTTCATTCATTTCTATGCTCTTTGCAGGCAGCATAACCTATAAACTGTTAAAAGTTTTGTAAGAACGTTCCTTTTCAGATATCGTGAAATCCTTGTTGACACTACACAGATTATGTTATAATGATAGAAACAAATGGGAAAAAAGAGAAAAATCAGGCATATAACATACCATTGAAAAAGGAAGGAAGAGTTAGTTTAATAAATGTTGAGGCAACCGAAACTTAAATAAGTATATCACAGAACATCAAAAAGATGTTTAATATTGAAAAACAACAGTAGCTTTAGTTGTCTTAGCTTCAGATGAGAATTAACAACAAAATGGAATGTAGTGAAACTTTTCATTTTGTTTCATTTTGGCCATATTAAACAAAATCAATAAATTTTATTCTTGGCAAAAGCATTATATATAAAAACATTTCATCGAATCTAACGAAAGCAACGTTTCCACACTTAAAATATCAAACATAAAGAATTTCATTATTGCAACTGTAGAAGGATAATATTTTGTATTTTACATCAAACATTTAAACCATCTGAACCTAACTATTCAAATTTGAATTTAATCCATTTCAAACTATTGTCAACTGAAGAAACTTATGACATCTTATGACTTATTTACACTTCTGCTGCAGATCGTTGTGATCTGCAGCAAAAGTGTAAATTTGTCATAAAGGATAATAATGTTAAAAAACTGTATGTATATTATAGAGTTTCAATCATTTTACCATATTGGAGAGGTGCTGTTTCTACTGCTATAAACACCTGAGACTATTGCTATAAACATCTCAACTGAAGAGGGCTTAAAATTGAAAGTCAAAATACATTTTGATAATTTATAATAGTGAATATTGTTAAATAAAGGTTTTATGGTCTCCAGTTTGATTTATTGTCCTCGAATAGATAGTGGCAACTGAAGCATATTTTGACAAGATTGTCATATTAAAACAGAAGTGGACAGCATGCCGACCATTTAATAGGAGAAAGTTTTTATCATATAGGCTTTAAATTACAAATAAATGACACTAGACCAACAAGTGCTTTCAACGATAGTTAATCATCAAAAGCATATACAATAAAACACGCATGGTTATAATTATAACCGTGCATGTTTTTATTTAAAAATTGTTTTATGTTCTACTATTGCTTCCATTCCAAAATGTTAATATGCTTGGAACAGTCAGTTATTTGTAGTCAAAAAAGGAATTTAACTGTTTTTAACAACCTGATGAAGACAAAAATAATTATCGTTGAAAGCGCTTGTTGGTCTAGCAACATTTATTTGTAATTTAACACCTGTATGATAAAAACTTTCTCCTATTGCCATATTAAATATATGTAAACTATTTTAAATTTAAATTTGCTTTAAATTAAATTACTATCAAATATTCATCTTTATATTTTAATTCCATAATTATTATAACAAATAACAAAATACGTTGAATGAATTATTTATTTCATACTATAAGAGAACATATATAAGCATCGTTATGTAAAAAATTTTAAATACCTTTGGCAGAGTAGATATATCATTGCAGTCTAACCAAAGTTCTTGTAAATTTGTCAATTGACCAATAACAGGTGGCTGAAATTTTACAACAAAACCATTATTAATTACATTCTTTAAAAAATCATCATAAATATAAAGAAATAAATATACCAAGTCCTTAATCTGATTGCTTCCTAAATCAAGCTGTTCCAATTTGACCAAAAATGCAAATGAAGATGGTAGTGACTTGATAAGATTATCCCTCAGTTCCAAAGACTGCAAATTACTCAAACTAAGAGTAATAAAAAATAAGAATAAAATTCATAATTATAAACCTAATTTCAAAACTCTTTCATTAATGCATTTTGTGTGAATCATGAATTTTAAGTATTTAAATTAATGCATGATTATTTGCTTACAATTCTTAAATTCTTTTTCAACATTTTTCTAGCAATAATTTTATCATAGCTTTTGGGGTGTCTCTTGACAGGCGAAGGTGGTGGAGTGATTACCTCAAGAGAACAGTTGACTCTACATTGAATGATATTGGTGTGCTCCCAGAGGAAAATGCAACCTCAAGTGAAATGGATTTATAAAAATAGACTATCCCTGCTATTGATATTATATTTATTATTTATTTCTGGTATAGAATCTAATCCAGGACCACTGTCTAGATCACCTCAATATAGTGGACATACAGATATGCAAAAGAACGAGAAGGGAAGGCCTCGCAATGCTAATACTAAAGTTATAGACAAAACAAATATACTAGAAATTGTGTCCAGTCAGGAAATTCAGCTAGAAGAACAAGACTACAATAGAGGTGAATTAATTGACGTCAGATCACCAAAAATACAAGATTACTATCACACCATACGAGAAATAGACACTTCAACAGCAGAAGAACAAAAATATTCGCTGAAATCCATATATGATTTAATTCAAAAAAAATTCACTCAATTAAATAATGAATTACAAAAGATCAAAACAGAAGTAAACATTCTGAAAGAAGAAAATAGAGCTTATCAACTGGAAACCAAGAAAATCACACAAAAACTGGAAGTACTGCACCAAACTGGAAGTACTGCATATTGGTAGTCTCATTCAAATTATGATGCTCCATCATCTACAAAAATTTGGCTATCAGCCGATAGTTCTGCTTGGATTTGGACTTATTAATATAGGATAATTCCCACACTAAAGGTATGCTAGAATTTGAAATAGATCAATTAATAAATGAAAAAATGAACAAGAATATAGTAATTATTAATTTTCCATTTAAAACCTTTGAATATTTAAACAAAATTGAACATTTTATAACAATGGAACTAGGCATAACAAATAGTCCAATAGATAGTTTAATTAAATTAACTAATAATGAATATTTCTCAACGTTAAGCCTATGGTGAAAATTGTATTATCCTCAACATATGATAGAAATTTAATACTTAAAGAATTTTGGTCTAAGAAACCTAAAATTAATTTAGATGAACAGAAAAAATTATATTCAAAACAGACCTGTGTAGAAGATCAAGCTTGAGGAGAAAAAATTTGATTCCAATAGTCCAAAAAGAAAAAGCCAAAGGCAACAAAACAATAACGAAAGATGATTATTATATAAATAAAGAAAATATCTACACTTATGATCTCAACTTAGATAAAATTATACAACTAAAGAGTTTTTTAGGACTGAGTTGAATGATTTATCAAATAAACACACAATAAAATCTTGTGCGCCCATGTTTCTTTGGAAAACAGATGATACCACAAACTCAGAGATAATAGAAAATAATAATCAACAAAGGAACAGATTAAATCAGTTGAATATAGTTATAGATTTGCCACTAGAAATAAGTTCCACTAAAAAGAAATAATTCGAAAATTTTCTTTGTATTTTTGAATATTCAGGGACTCCAAAGAAAACTATATACAGACATATTTCATGGTTATTTGAAATCTAATACAGTTAATTATTGGTCTGTCTGAAACTTGGTTGGTCCAGCTAAATGTAGAAGAAAAAATATATTTGGAATGAACTTTTTAGTATTAGAAAGTAAAGCTCAAAGAAATAGTAAATTCGGTCGTCCCTCTGGAGACCTTTTATTATTAATAAAAAAAATCTAGGAAAACTGAAGTCTTGGAATGTCGATAATAACTACATCCTAGCTGAATTAGAGCTTTGTCAATGTTTAAATATACTCTGGGGAGAAACACGTTTAGGAATTATACTCATATAACTAGCACCAAATACAGATAAGAAGAGTATCTTACTAGAAATTTATAAAATGATAACACAAAGAACTAATATTATAGACTTGTGGATAATAGGTGATGATGCTAATAGCCGAATAAGTAAAATAATGGATACCAAAAATAAAAATAACAATGGAATTATAATACTATTGATAGAATATCTAAAGATAAAGAAAGTAACTTAGGAGGAAGATTATTACTAGAATTTGTACAAGATAATAGTTTATATATATTGAATGGAAGATTTCCAAGCAATTGTCCTGCAGAATACACACATTTGTCAAATGTTGGTAAATCTAATTGACCATATAATTTGTTCGAAATTTGTTCTAAATAAGATTAAGGAATTTAGGGTGTTAAATAATGATATTTCTGACCACTTCCCTTTGTAATTAGAATTAATTGGTGTTCCATACAAAAACAGAGAAGATCAAATTCAAAAAATAGGCAAACCAATAGAAGGGAAATGGGAAGAAGTTTTAATCTGATAAAATTTAAAAATGAATTCAACAATGAATTGTTAATGCTACAAGATTGTGAAAATAATACAATGGCTATACAGAAATATGGTAATTTAGTAAATATAATTGATCAGTTTCATTATAAAATTTCTTGGAAAAATAATAAAATACAACCTAAACAAGTCTGGTTTGACAAGAGTTGCTACCTTCATAAGATTAATAAACAATGTAGCTTACAGCATTTTAGAAAAATGAACTTGGAGATAACATTGAAAGAATATATAAGGAACAAAAAATTTATTAAAATCTAATTAAAGCAAAAAAGAAAAAATATTATTCTGAAATGAGTGAAGTTAATGGCCAGAGATACCAAAAAATTTTGGACTATTATTAATAAAGTTAAAAATAAATCACAAACCACAGAGCCCAAATACTATGTAAGTTATAAAAATTGGAAACAATACTTAGAGAAATTTTCTATTACCTACAAAAATAAATACAAAGAACAGAAACTACAATGTATTACGATTACAACTCAACAAATAACAGAAATATTCAATTCCACCCGGCAGTCCGGATAACTCGGCCACAAAATAATAATCAACACACCTTAGTAATTCCAGCAACGAAGTATTTAATAAAATAATAACATTTTCGATTATATTTAATAGTCTTCTTCAGTTAACCTCTTCAAAACGAAAACGTTATTATTTTATTAAATACTTCGTTGCTGGAATTACTAAGGTGTGTTGATTATTATTTTAAGCATTTATATTCCAGTAAGTTATTTTATTTTATAACTCGGCCACACCCTGGCAAGGCAAAAAAATCCTTAGTTAATTAATTTCCATTATAGACAGCTTTATGCCTCATAAAGTATTTTTCTGAGGTCTGTCTTATCAGGTAAATTACTGTACACAGTGTATTCATTAATTTTCATTTTCATGTAGTAAAGGCTCTATGCCTTCATAAAGGACGTACTTTTCCTTTGTTTAAGGGTATTTGGGCAGTTTATTCTCTGTTNTTTCCTGTAATAAAAATACATAAAAAATTATAATTTCATTTCAAAACTCTTAATCAATATTGAAATGTTGCAATAGAATTTTTATTGATAAATAAATAAAAATTAATTGCTTATATTCATTAGGTTTTTTAGATCAAATACCTTTCTTAAATGTTTTTGTGGTGTACATTTTTGATTAAAAAAGTTAAGTTAATTTTAATAAATTATAAACTGGTGAAAACTTTATGTATATATTATTATATATTTCTGAGTAAATATTTATTATATATTTCACCAATTTGGAATCTAACAAAATATAAAAAATTTGAAACAATTCAAAATAAATTTATATGAAAAATTTTTACTCTGGACTATAATATAGCTGGTTATGCTCTTAGAATTGAACTCAATATATTCAAATTAACTCCCTTCTTTGTTAAAAGATATATTAATTTTTTATATAAGATTAGAGACGACAACTTACCGACTAAATTGTTATATTTGTTATATAAAAAATTTTATCACAATCCTCAAAAAAGTTCTTGGATTAGTCAAATGAGAAATATTGTCAATGAATACGGAGTTTCTTTAACGCCATTTTAGAAAATTTAGAAATTAGTGAATTTATAAGAAAACAACTAATCCAAAATACATTCGAAATTACTTTGGCTCAAGACATTGAAGAAATCCATACAAGAAGAGAACCTAAATGGTATAATATTATATTAGATTACCCCTTTAATAATAATTATATGCTAACTAATATGTCGTTTACAGTTAAGAAATTTTTTATTCAACTGAGATTAAATAGCAAGATGATTATAGTTAATAATAGAATTTATGAGTTTTCAAAAATTATTTGTCCTAGATGTCAAGAATTATTTACTAAGTATCACATGTTTTGTGAATGTGAAAAAGGTTATGAACTAAGGAACAAAATGGATTTATATCAATTAAATTTCCTTAAAGATGAAAATCAAATGTATCATTTGTTTCATGAAGCAAATACTGTAATGATTTATAAATTATACAATTATGCAAAAATCTTCTGTAATCAACCTTGTTAAAGTCTAAAATATTTGAACTAAACCAATTAATGAATGTAATAAAATAAACAGATGATACCAAATGATATTATGAATGCTACAATTAATGTGTAAACAATGTAACAACACCCTGTAATAACAGGCTATGGACTAATATGACTAATAAATTTATTTATTATTATTATTATTATTATATTGGGTTTTGTGAGTTACACTCGGTTCACACCAGTGGCTGTGTACTATGCCAGACCAGAGTCAAGGCATAGCAACCAAAACAAAACTAAAATTAAATAAGTGTGTCAGTGTGTGTGTCTGTATTCAGGAATTTCCTAACAATGTGGCATGTATTCAATATAGTGGCCTTCTGTAGTGTGATGTATGTATTTCTACTCAATTGTAATGTTCCCAGGCTTTTGTGTAGTGTGTGTGGTATCACACCTGTACAGGAGAGAACGACATGTACAATAAGCACCCTATCCATCCTCCACAAATACCTTATTTCCTGGGCGAGTTCTGTGTACTTGCTAATTTTTTCAGTGCATGTGTTTTGTACATTGTGAGTGTTTGGAATGGATATGTCTATAATGTATGTGATTTTATTGTGTTTGTCAATGAGTGTGATGTCTGGTCTGTTGTGGTAAATTTTTTTTCTGTGATTACGGCTCTCTCATAATACAGTTTGTGCGTGTTGTTTTCCAATACTGTCTGTGGAATATACTTGTAGTATGGTTCATGAATGTCTACCAAGTTGTGTTTCTTTGCAAGCTCTTGGTGTATTATATTTGCTACTTGATTATGTCTGTGTAAATTATCTGTCTGTGCCAAGAGCTTGCAACCAGAAGTAATGTGCTGTATAGTTTCTGGCATGATGTGACATTTTCTGCATGTCTTATTTGTGAGAGTTATGTCTTTCAGTATGTGTTTTCTGTAGTTTTTAGTATTTATGACCTGATCCTGTGTGGCAATCATAAATCCTTCCGTCTCCCCAAAGAGGCATCCCCGATCTAACCAGCTGTTTGACGCAGTTTTGTCAACAAAATCCTGGGCCAGGTCATAAGGATGCCTGCCATGGAGTGCCTTTCGAGCCCACGATTGCTTGATGGTGTCTATGCTTTTTATGTGTTGTGTCATGTCTGTATGATGTGAGTGTAAGTTTAATGGTGTGTTATTTGAGTCTGCTAGAGTTACTGCTTTATGTAACTGTGATGTTTCTTGTTTCTTGTAGAAAAACTCTCGCAGTGACTGTATTTGTTTGTAGTGAAGGTTAACTATGTCAATCAGGCCACGTCCGCCTTCTTTACGTGGAAGGGTTAATCTTTCTGTGGCGGATTTAGGATGATGTTGTTTATGCTTAGTAAGTGTTGTTCTTGTTTTCCTTTGGAGTTGCTCGAGATCTGTGTGAGTCCAATGTATAACTCCAAAAGAGTATGTGAGTACTGGGATGACATATGTGTTTATTGCTTTAACTGTGTGTTTTGCATTTAACTGTGTTCTGAGTATAGCGTTTAACCTACTTTGGTATTCTTTAATTAATCTTTGCTTTATTTGTGTATGTTCTGTTAGTTTGGCCTGTTGGAATCCTAAATACTTGTAGAACTCGCCCTCTTCCATGGATTCAATAACGTCTCCATTTCCAAGTGCAAAATCTTCTTTCTTCAGGATTCCTTTTTCTATGTGAAGTTTTTTGCATTTGTCTAAGCCAAACTCCATTTGTATGTCCTTAGTGTATGAATGTGTGATTTGTAGGAGTTGATGAAGTTGTTTTTGTGTGGATGCATAAAGTTTTATGTCGTCCATGTACATGAGATGTGAGAGTGTAAACTGTGTTGTTTTTTCGTGTCTGATATTGTAGCCGTATTGCGTGTTGTTTAACATGTTGGATAATGGATTCAGGGCTAGGCAGAACCAGAGAGGACTCAAGGAATCTCCTTGAAAAATTCCTCGCCTAATGAATATTTCGTTTGTTTGTATGGAAGTGTTACTAACCCTGAGATGTAGTGTTGTTCTCCAGTGCTGCATAGTGTTTTCGAAGAATGCAATGAGTGATGGATGTATTTTGTACATGTGTAGAATATGTAGCAGCCAACTGTGTGGAACACTGTCGAATGCTTTTCTGTAGTCTATATATGCCATGTGTATGTTTCTGTGTTGTTTGTGTGCTTGCCGTAGAATGACTGAATCTATGAGTAACTGTTCTTTGCATCCCCTGTGATTTCTACGGCAACCTTTTTGTTGTTCTGTAAGAATGTCGTGTTCTTCAACATGTTTGTATATTTTGTTTGTGATACAGGATGTCAATAATTTGTAGAGTGTTGGAAGACATGTAATTGGTCTGTATTGTGTGGGGTCTGTGGTTTTGTTGTTTTTAGGTTTCATGTAGGTAATGCCCCGAGTAAGAAATTTTGGCATGTCTTGTGGATTGATGATGATGTGTGTTAGATGTTTAGCTAGTTCCTGGTGCAGTGATGTAAACTTTTTGTACCAGAAATTGTGAATGTTGTCTACACCAGGTGTCTTCCAGTTGTGTGTTCTGTTAACAGCGTAGCGAATGTCGTGTATGTTTATTTCAGCACAGGGCATAGTTGGTATGTTATGCAAGTTTCTGTTCTCCTCCTTGATCCAGCCTGCATCAGCATTGTGTGTAACAGCATTGGACCAAAGAGAAGACCAATAAGTTGTGAGTTCTTCTTCTGTTGGTGTGCCACTGTGCTGTGTATCAGTGTTTGTTTTGGTACTGATTTGTCTGTAGAAAAGTTTTTCATTGTTTGTGAATAATTTATTTTGTTGTTTTCGTAATGTACATGTTTTGTATCATTTGAGTCTACGTGGTTTGGCTGCGAGTTTCTTGTGGTGTATCACTGTATTCTGTAATGTGTGTGTTGTGATGTTCATGTTTTGTGTGTGCTGTGATGTTCATGTTTTGTGTGTGTTTTGATTTTCTTGAAAATGTTTTTGAGTTGTTTCTTTAATTTGGGGGTTATGTTGTTTTTAGTGTATTGTGCCAGCCTGCCTAATTGCTGTCTAATGTCATTTATTTGTGTTTCTATTCTTCTCTGCCAGGCAGGCTTGTGATAGAATTGTGTTTTGTGTGTGTCTATCTGTGATTGTATTTTCAGACCATGGTGTGTTACTACTGTGACTGCCCCAGCATAAACTAATGTATGAATGTCTGAGAGTGTAGAAATTGAATGAATGTAGTTTGGTAGTAAGTGAGTGTTTACATAATTTAGTGTTTTTCCTACTACCTTTGACGTGTTGATTTTTGGTATTCGTGGTCTTTGTGTGGGATCTGTGCCTGTATATTTAGCGAGTGTTTCCTGAAATATAAGTGAGAGTGTATTAACTAAATCTATATTTATGTTATCAGTGATGGATGAGGAAGTGTCTGTAGTATCATTAATGGTAGTTGTTGTATGTGCCCTATTATCAATGCTTGTTGCTGGATTATCCTGACTTATTATTATTATTATTATCATCATCATCATCATCATAATAGCTTTTAAAATAAAAATATAATTTATGTCTATATAAAAATGTATCTGTTGCCTTTAGATTAATATATCATCATCTTAATTTATTATATAAATATGTTTTATGTACTTCAGAATTAATTAATTAAGTTTAAATAATATCAATAATAAAACTTACCTTCCAAAATCTCCAGGAAGTTGTGTTAGTGTAACATCATTTAAACCAAGTACAGTTAAATTTCTCAACTGTACAAATCCATGAGGAAGCCTGACAACAAAAATTATTTCTTGTTATTTAAAGCATTTAGTATAAACTTTTTAAAATAAAAATAAATGTTTTAAGAAAAGAATTTAAATGCACCAAACAAAATTTAGTAAAATACTACTGAATTTTGTTTGATTACAAAACTAAATTTTATATTCAAACACTCAGTTCTGGCTTCTTTACTAGCTGCAATTATTAATTATTAAAACTTTTAACTAGTTTAATAAGTCAAGAATTATTTTAAAAATTTTTATTTTTATTCAAAATAATATTTATGTAGCTGATTTTATTATAAATAATAGAATATTATTTATAATAAAATCAACCATATTTTGTAATCCATCAAAAAATTTCACATAAAAACAAAGTATTCTTTACTTATTTATTTCAGTAACCCAAAAAAGTTTCTTTTACTGAAAAATTATAAAGATATTAAACTTAAGATTTTGTTTGTTAGTTATATCTTATTAAAATAAAAAAAAAAAGCTTTGTTTCATTTTAAAATAAAAGACTGCTATAATTTGATTTTATTTATAAAACCATCAGCACATTATACAATTGGCTAGTTATACCCATTATAAGTGGATTGACTCACAATAGGGTCAACTATCATAAGTAAAGGACAGAGCAATGCCAAAACCTGTACTAACCATGATAAATTAAAGGGGTCTAAACCAATTCAAACTGGATTCACCATGGCCAAAAGGCAAGATCTGGAATCTACATTATCTAACTATATAATTGAAACTTAGTTGAATATAAAGTTAAAAATTATCTTAATTTTTCTGTTTCTGCTCAAATTTTCACTTATAATTTAACCAAAAATGAGTTTTTGTAAATGTAAATGAAAGTCTGATTGCATTCTCAAAACTTAACAAAAAGTCTAAAAGAAAATATTAGGTTGGGGAAAAAGAAAATATTAATATAATTCAAGAGGTTATTTGACAGTTAAATTGAAATACAGTAATACCCCGAACTTATGCGATAGGTGGGACCAAGCGATAACCATGTAAGTCAAATTCGCGTAAGTCGGGATATAATTTCCCAATTTGTGTAAAATCCAAGTCGTATGTATGTAAGCTAATAAATGTTCTTGTTAATCTTATCTCGTCTTTTGATTCGTTCACGATTACAAGAAATCACCACATAGAGTCTCTCGAGTCTCCGTAGATATAACAAAAACAGAAATAAATAACACAAAATAAATTGTAGCTATGTGTCGATTCCGTGAGACATGTCCAAACATGTAAGCTGAACAATAGTGTGGGGGGAGTGAGTAATCAAGAGTTGCGTGGTGCTCAAACAAAAGACGAATCGACGAGATTTGAAAATCACGTAACTTCAGGTTCGCGTAAGTCAAGGTATTACTGTAATTAATTTTGACAACTGCTGTTAAGTAAACTATTGGACATTATCTAATTTCATTTGCAAATAATATAGCTTAGCTGAGACAGAAAAACTAAAAATGAATCCTTTAATTTTTAAGTACCTGTTATCAGTTTCTGGCTTCAAATAAAGTGAAACCTTCACTATGTGACATTTAACAAATTATATTTTTAAATGGAGTTTGGACATTTGAGAAATTCGGGTTTTTCCACATTTCAATAAATTTCTGAGTTTCAGCACACATTATGATAGTAGAAAAATAGAAAAAGATTCTAACATTTATAACTGTTAAATTATTCATTTCAATTTTTATTATTTCTGATTTTATTTTAAAAATTTATAATATTAACTGAAGTAATTAAAGACACAATTAAATGACCATTAATTAATTTAATAGCATATAAATCAATAGAAAATATTTAAAATTTTACACATAATAATACTTACTTTGAGAGAGGATTGCAGCTGAAATCTGCTGTCTGAAGAGATTTAAGAAATTTTATATTTTCTGGAATATCAGGAATATCTGAAAAATTTAATCAATCATTATTTTTAATACCATAAAAGTATAACTAATGTTGAAGTCAAATATTCAGATAACAGTTATAAATATTTATTAGAGAGAAATGATATTTTTAAATTAGAAGTTTACATTGCTTGTTTGAAGTAGCCAAATCTTTTTGACCTTTTTAGACCAGCTTCAGTCAACATAGTGTTATAGTGTCAAACAACAGTTCAAATTAATGTAAAAATTTTAATTTTTTTNACTTAAGATTTTGTTTGTTAGTTATATCTTATTAAAATAAAAAAAAAAAGCTTTGTTTCATTTTAAAATAAAAGACTGCTATAATTTGATTTTATTTATAAAACCATCAGCACATTATACAATTGGCTAGTTATACCCATTATAAGTGGATTGACTCACAATAGGGTCAACTATCATAAGTAAAGGACAGAGCAATGCCAAAACCTGTACTAACCATGATAAATTAAAGGGGTCTAAACCAATTCAAACTGGATTCACCATGGCCAAAAGGCAAGATCTGGAATCTACATTATCTAACTATATAATTGAAACTTAGTTGAATATAAAGTTAAAAATTATCTTAATTTTTCTGTTTCTGCTCAAATTTTCACTTATAATTTAACCAAAAATGAGTTTTTGTAAATGTAAATGAAAGTCTGATTGCATTCTCAAAACTTAACAAAAAGTCTAAAAGAAAATATTAGGTTGGGGAAAAAGAAAATATTAATATAATTCAAGAGGTTATTTGACAGTTAAATTGAAATACAGTAATACCCCGAACTTATGCGATAGGTGGGACCAAGCGATAACCATGTAAGTCAAATTCGCGTAAGTCGGGATATAATTTCCCAATTTGAGTAAAATCCAAGTCGTATGTATGTAAGCTAATAAATGTTCTTGTTAATCTTATCTCGTCTTTTGATTCGTTAACGATTACAAGAAATCACCACATAGAGTCTCTCGAGTCTCCGTAGATATAACAAAAACAGAAATAAATAACACAAAATAAATTGTAGCTATGTGTCGATTCCGTGAGACATGTCCAAACATGTAAGCTGAACAATAGTGTGGGGGGAGTGAGTAATCAAGAGTTGCGTGGTGCTCAAACAAAAGACGAATCGACGAGATTTGAAAATCACGTAACTTCAGGTTCGCGTAAGTCAAGGTATTACTGTAATTAATTTTGACAACTGCTGTTAAGTAAACTATTGGACATTATCTAATTTCATTTGCAAATAATATAGCTTAGCTGAGACAGAAAAACTAAAAATGAATCCTTTAATTTTTAAGTACCTGTTATCAGTTTCTGGCTTCAAATAAAGTGAAACCTTCACTATGTGACATTTAACAAATTATATTTTTAAATGGAGTTTGGACATTTGAGAAATTCGGGTTTTTCCACATTTCAATAAATTTCTGAGTTTCAGCACACATTATGATAGTAGAAAAATAGAAAAAGATTCTAACATTTATAACTGTTAAATTATTCATTTCAATTTTTATTATTTCTGATTTTATTTTAAAAATTTATAATATTAACTGAAGTAATTAAAGACACAATTAAATGACCATTAATTAATTTAATAGCATATAAATCAATAGAAAATATTTAAAATTTTACACATAATAATACTTACTTTGAGAGAGGATTGCAGCTGAAATCTGCTGTCTGAAGAGATTTAAGAAATTTTATATTTTCTGGAATATCAGGAATATCTGAAAAATTTAATCAATCATTATTTTTAATACCATAAAAGTATAACTAATGTTGAAGTCAAATATTCAGATAACAGTTATAAATATTTATTAGAGAGAAATGATATTTTTAAATTAGAAGTTTACATTGCTTGTTTGAAGTAGCCAAATCTTTTTGACCTTTTTAGACCAGCTTCAGTCAACATAGTGTTATAGTGTCAAACAACAGTTCAAATTAATGTAAAAATTTTAATTTTTTTTCTTTAATTTAAATACTTTTCAGTGTGAGTTTTTAATTTTATAATAGAGCACCAAGAACTTTGTAATTTAATTATATTATTTAATTAAAAAATCTTTTATAATACAAATTATGTAGTTATAGGAAAAAATACTAAAATGTACAAGTGGTTGCTTTGATCTTTCCAGTAGCTTCTAGACATTTTTATAGTGTAAATTGATAAGCCTTAATCCTCTCCCTCTCCCCCGCAAGTAGGGAGATTTTAAAAAAATCCCTTCTTAGTGTTCATTTTCATGATGTACCCTAACTGTGTACCAAATTTCACCTCTTTAGGTTTGCTCTGGGTTATGATGAATCAGTNTTTTTCAATGAACTATTTGATGAATGGATAATCCATACCATTTGATATATAATCTTTTTTTATTAAAAAATTTATAATCTTATATTTTTATAACAGTAATCACCATCTTTGATTACTAAAAACAAAGGTTTTAGAAAATACTGCATTAAAAATTCCAATGACAATCTCCAAATTATCAGACTATTTTTGGTCTATGTTAATGATTAGTTACTAATTAATTTGACTAAAGTAGGTGGATATGCTGACATCTCATATATATACTCCAATAATTCAACAGATTGCTTGTCATTAATCAATTAAATTGGTTTATGATTTGTTGTTATTATATACTAAAAATTACAGCTTTACATTCAGCTTTGAGGCTTTATCTAAATTCATTCTTACAGATTTTATATATAATAACTACACTTAAGTGTAGTTATTATATATTCAAAAGTTGGCATGAAGTGTAATTTATTTTAACTTACAGATTTTCTTTACATCTTTTCTTCTTGGAAGTTAAAATGAAATTTCCTATTTAAAATGAATTCAAAAAATTGAAAATGTCTAATAAATAAATAAAATTTTGAAAGAGAGAGATAGAGATAGAGAGAAAGAGATTGAAAGTAATGAAGGAAACCAAAGAAGAGAAAATGGTGATTAACCATAAGCAAAAATTTAAACTCTATGCAAAAATGGTGTTGATAATTACCAGAAACAGATTAAGCAGTGTAATATTTTTGGAAATAGAAGCATCTAATGAGAATAATTACTCCCATAAACATGCTTTATTCTCAAAGATGTTTATTAAAAGTGTAAATTAAGTGAGTAAAAAGGGAAACAACAACTATTCTGAAGATTTTTTAATACATATTTATTATGCATATATATGCATAAATATTACATATATATTTAAATTAAAATAAATAAAAACCTGTTTACTTGTCAGTGATAAATAAACTTTATGAATTAAAATTAAAAAAAAAAAATTCAGTCACTAAACAATTGAACAGTTCCGAGAAAACAAAATAGGGGAGTATTTTTAGAATATTAAGTAATAACATTTCTGGAATTATTCCAAAATTATTTCATTTGAATTGTCATCAAAAAGAGAATAGCTATCACTACAAATGACTGATCACCAATCAATTTACTACAAATTTATAAATTACATTGATTTTTTACTGTCAAAGTTCTAAAATATAAATATTTATTGTATAAATTTTTATTTCCTCTCCACAATTAACACAGGCAAGGCAGCAAGCTGACAGAAAGAGGTCAACATGAAATGCAAAAAAAAAAAAAAACTATCAAAACTTACATAAAAATCATGATGATGATGATGATAATAATAATAATAATACAGAAAGTTACATTAATAATATAGTACAATTACATAAGATAAAAATATAATTGATTTAAATTAGATAAAATTTAATTTAAAAATTTTTTCATATTTCTTCTGGTGATTATGAAGTGTCTAAGTCATATATTTTTTGTTTGGAGATATTTTGACTTTTGAGTTTGTAAAACTTAAAAAATTCTCTCTTGAAAAATTTGTATACTTTGCTATACTATTGTAAAATTTTATAAACAGTTTGTGAAATAAATTCAATGTTTTCCTATTTTTAACTCAGACCATTTTCTTAATAACTGGAACATTTAAAAGTTTTATTTTACAGATTTATTTTACACATTTTTTTTTGTTGTTTTAAAGGTATTAAAATTTAAATATAAATAATTTAGAGCTTCAGAAACAAATCTAGCATGTTAAAAAAAAATGCTGAATGTTAGACAAACATTGTGAAATTGTCTATTAAAAGACAGCAGATGAATAAATGTGTAATTAGAAGAATGTAATTCATTAAAATATTGAAAAAAAGACAAATATAAACAAAATATGAAAAAGTAGTAATTATTCTCTTGCACAGAGTTAAATTATTTGACTAACTTTTTGTTTTTAAAATTTTAATTCTTTAAACTCAAATACAAATTTAAGTTCTTGTTTGCTGAGTTTTTTTTAATTTTTTAAAAGTGAGCCATTTGAAATTATTTTTTGAACTCTAAAAACCAATTAAAATGATGCTCAACCTCTATAATTAATTCAATCAACCATTTCTTTTGACCATGACAAAATGTCAGAGGTTGAGTCTGTTGTTGACAATCACCATCATAATTTTGTTACTTAAATGAGCCTTTACAATTAATTTCTTACAATTTTCATTTATTAAATGAATAATCAATAACCACTCCTAGTCTATTATACAAACTCAATATTTTCTTCAACATACTACTGTGGGAGTAGCCGGGGGTACAACTCCGTTTAGGATCGTTCGTACCACTTAATCGGCACAGATTATCCGAAATCTGTCTCCAAAGTTTCGAATCAAGAGATCCGATCCTATGTCAAGATTTGTTTGACCGGGAGGGCAGTAATATTTAGGTCTAAGGAGGATTGAAGACGGCAAGTCTCTATCCGAATTGTCAGGTTCCCGACACCAGTTTGTCAATTAATCGATCCGCGGACAAACATGTGTGTGATCATTTTATAGATTTGATTCAGAGACATTCTTTTAACAAATAAACAAGATTGAATTTAATTAAAACATAAATCAAAATAGAGCAGTACAAATATACGACAATGAGAGACAATAAATACAATATATAAAAGTCGAGACATATATATATATATATATATATATTTAACCGACATACGATCGAGAGAGAGAGCTCACAAAATCGTTTAAAACATACAACCTGTTTTAGTTGTCGTTCGTCTTCTTCTCTGTAGGCAAGGACACTTAGGAGACAAAGTTCTCAAACTTCATTTCATGGGGGATCGATATGTGCACAAAATTCAAAGTAAATCTTCTAAGTGCTAACTCTGGGATTATTCTATGTGGCTCGTCTAAGGGCATTGGCCATCAGGAGAAAGATGTATGGAGTCCTGACTCTTCCAGGTCTGTCGATGAACTCCAAAAAGCGGTGTGGAGCCAATATGTGGAGTCCTTACTCTTTCAAGTCTGCTGATGAACTCCCCGAATTCTCATAAATTTCCCCTATATCTCATGATTTACGACTAATCATCTGCCAGAAACTCTTTCATGTGAACAGATGAAAGGGGAATCAAAGAGGGGTAGATAGTTCCCATCTGAGCAAGATTTTTAGCAGATAAGGGAAAAACAGAAGATGTACTAACTTCCCTCAAAGGAAGTAGCATCTGTTATCTATCTTTCCCACGTTGGAAAATGTTAATTTCTCACCAAAATGAAATAATATTTTATGACAATATTTAATATTATTAAACAATTATAAAATTTAGACCCAGGGGCTATTCAGATCTCACACTACAGTTTCATATAGTAATAAAAAATTAAGAACATTAAACTTAATTGTAAAGATATTGTTTAAAAAAATCATGATAACTAAAAAATATAATAATTTCATTGATAAAATTTAATTTCCAATTTAAAATAATTATTGAAGAAATTATATCTTAACAATTTATATCTAAATTACTAATAGAAAATAATTTGATATAGAAAATCCTTATTTCCATCCTTAGATTATTTCACATAACCATTTGTATGTTATGTGGAATCAAAATGTCCCTAAGGAATTTTTAAAATAATGACATTTGCTAACTTATTGTTTTAGTGTCTTCTCAATCCTTGACTTTCTATTTTACTCTATTATATTGTGAGATAAGCAGAGGACCAGAGGGACGATCCCTAATGACCACTTACATTGCACAGGTTGTTAAAACCTGATCTCTGCATCGATGGATGGCTTAGGACGGCAAAAAGTGAGTGGGAAGGTTGCGAGCACGTGGACAGGTGTCTTCATGGGAAAAGGATCGACAGATCGACAGCGTAACAAACAGAACATTTATTGATTAACTAAAGTTAACATACAAAATTCGGTTACAAGTCTATCTGACTAAACGCTACTCGGTTAAATGCGATAAAATGCTACTTGGGGGAGAGAGTTCACAAAGTTCTAACAAATACCTCTATGAGTAAGATTGGAAGGGATGGCTGAGGTATGGTGGTCGTATGTCTTCTCCGACGGTATTCCGTTCCTGAACATGGAAATCGACAACACAGGTACAGAAATAACTTCCTTGGGTTGATCCGCCCTTTGTTTCCGGTAGTGTAAGCTTTTATAGCATTAGTGTGAGAAAGCCGTCCATTTGTTGACGATGACTTGCATTTCTTGACAGCTAAATGTCAACTTTCCCACCTAAATGTTGATAGTTAAAGGAGACCTCTGCTCCTTTACTCCGCGAGGAGTTTTTCCTAAAGGGGATGTTTACAAAATTTCAATAGACGAAAAAAGGGAAAGTTTCCTTTCATTTACAAAATTCCTGCTCTAAAATCTGCTGTCTCACAATATGTATATAAGATATGATTGCACAAACTCTTATAGTTAAGAAGTTAAGTT